TGGCTCCTTTGTCAAAGATGAAGTAGCTGAGTACATCAGGAGTTATTTCTGTATCTTCCAATCTATTCCACTGATTCTCATGTCTTTTTCTTTGCCAGTACCATGCTGTTTTTATCACAGTGGCTTTGTAGTATAGTTTTATGTGGGGGATTGTGATACCCCCTGTCATGTCTCTGTTGCCTATAATTGCTTTTGCTATCCTAGGTCTCTTCTGGTTCCAAACGAATTTTTGGATTCTTTTTTCTAGTTCTGTGAAATATACTGTTGGGATTTCAATTGGGATTGCATTGAATCTGTACAGCAGTTTTGGCAGTATGGCCATTCACTATGTTGACTCTTCATATCCAGGAATGGGATATCTTTCTATTTTCTTATATCCTCTTCAATCTCTTTTTTCAGAGCACTATAGTTTTCAGTGTAGAGGTCTTTTGCTTCCTTCATTAGATTGATTCCTAGATACTTTATTTTTTTTGGATGCTATTGTGAAAGAAATTGATTCCCAATTTTTCTCTCAGTGAGTCTATTTGTGTACAAGAAAGCTATTGATTTTTGAGGGTTGAACTTGTATTCAGCTACTCTGCAGAAAATGTCAGTTAAGTCTAGAAGTCTTTTGGCGGAGTTTTTTGGGTCTTGTATGTAAAGTATCATATTATCAGCAAACAATAACAGTTTAACTTCATCCTTTCCTATCTTTATCACCTTAATTTCTTTCTCATGTCTAATTGCTGTGGCTAATGTTTCCAGAACTATATTGAACAGGAGTGGTGATAGTAGACATCCTTGTCTTGTTCCTGATTTTAGCATGAAGGTTTTTAGTTTTTGACCATTTAGTATGAGGTTGGCTGTAGGTTTTTCATAGATAGCCCTTATCAAGTTGAGATAAAGACCATATATTCCAATTTTATGCAGGGTTTTTATCATGAATGGGTTTTGAATTTTGTCAAATGCTTTTTCTGCATCTATCGAGAGGATCATATGGTTTTTGTCCTTGACTTTGTTAATATAGTGTATTACACTTATTGATTTATGTATGCTGAACCATCTTTGCATCCCTGGGATAAACCCGAGTTGGTCAGGGTGTATGATCTTCTTGATGACCCTCTGTATTCTGTTTGCCAGTATCTTATTGAGGATTTTTGCATCTATGTTCTTTAAGGAGATTGACCTGTAGTTCTCTTTTTTGGTTGGGTCTTTCCCTGGTTTTGGAATCAAAGTGATACTTGCTTCCAGGAATGAATTTGGAAGTATTGCTTTCCTTTCAATTTCATCGAAAAGTTTAAAGAATAGTGGCAGTAGTTCTTCTCTAAATGTCTTATAGAATTCAGCAGTGGAGCCATCAGGACCTGGGCTTTTCTTAGTTGGTAAATTTTTAATAATGTTTTCAATTTCACTGAATGTAATTGGGGTGTTTAGAATTTTTTTATCTTCTTTATTCAACTTTGGTAATTCATAAGTATCAAGAAATCTGTCCATTTCTTCTGTGTTTTCCATTTTATTCAAGTACAGGTTCTCAAAGTAGGTATTGATGATCCTTTGGTTTTTCTGGTGGATCTGTTGTGACTTCGCCTTTTTCATTCCTAATTGCTTGGATCTGAGCCTTTTCTTCCTTTTTTCAGCAAGGTTGGCTAAGAGTTTATTGATTTTGTTTATTCTTTTGAAAAACCACCTCTTCAATTCATTAATATTTTTGTATCATTCTCTTAGGTCCCATTGCATTGATTTCTGCTCTGGTTGTTATAATTTCCTCCCTTGTATGAGCTTTGGGTTTTTTGTTTGTTTGTTTGTTTGTTTTTTGCTCTTCTTTTTCTAGGAGCCTAAGATTCATGATTAGGTTGTTTATTTGGACTCGCTCTGTTTTCCTAGCATGGGCATCCACTGCTATGAATTTTCCATGTAGAACTCCTTTCATTGTGTCCCACAGATTCCTGTATGTTGTATTGGCATTATCATTTATTTGTAAAAACTGACTAATTTTTTCTTTAATTTCCTCTGCGACACATTGATTGTTCAGGAGAGTGTTGCTTAATTTCCATGTGTTTGTGAAGTTCTTACAGTTTCTTATGCTATTGATCTTCAGCTTAGTTGCTCTATGGTCTAATAATATAAATGGGGTAACTTCAATTCCTTTGCATTTATTTAAACATGTTCTATGAGCTAGCATGTGGTCTATTTTGGAGAACGACCCATGTGCAGAGGAAAAGAATGTATATTCTGATTTTGTGGGGTTGAACACTCTGTAGAGATCTATTAAGTTCATTTGTTCAAAAGCTTCAGTCCTAGTATTTCGTTATTGTTTTTTTTGTCAAATGATCTATTTACGTTTTGTTTTTGTTTTGTTTTGAGACAGGGTCTCACTATATAGTTCAGACTGCTCTGGAACTCACTGTGTAGCCCAGGCTAGTCTCAAACTTGCAGTGATCCTCCTGCCTCAGCCTCCCAAGTACTGGGATTATAGGTGTGTGTCACTATGCCTGGCTATTTCTTATAGTGGGGTATTTAGGTCCCCCACTACAATTGTATTAGTGCTTATTTGGTTTTTCATGTCCCTTAATATTTGTTTTATATAGTTGGGGGCATTAATATTTGGTGCATATATATTTATGATTGTCATCTCTTTCTCTTGGATTATTCCCTTTACAAGGATGTAGTGGCCTTCTTTGTCTCTCTTGTTTTGGTTTGACATTTACTTTGAAGATGTGGTTTCTGCTGAGGTTGAGCCTCAGTCTGACCCCATAAAAGCCCTGTCTATATTTATTCCTGGCTTTTTGTACCCCATGAAAACCTTTGTCCATGGCTTCCCAAAATGGTGCCAGGGCAGTTGTTGGGAGGAGGCAGCAGGGTTCTGGGGGCTGTGTGCACCTGCCCAGTGTAAAGAGAGTTCACCTCAGCTTGGTGCTAAGAGCATCTGTTAGTTGTTCCAGGCCGTTATTGTTTTCTGTACCTAACCTCCCCACACCCCTGCACTACAGGGCATTAAACCAGGGCCTTCACACCGAGCTATATCCCCAGACATTTTTATTTCTCATTTTGAGACAGGATCTCATTATGTTGCTAAGTTGCCCAGGCTGGATTGTATTTGTGATAGGCCTGCCTCAGTCTTCCAAAGTGCTGGGACTGCAGGCATGTACCTTCATGCCCAGCCATAATTTTTATTTTTAAGGTAATCTTTCTGAGGAAGAAAATTATACTTATTGCATTCTTTTTCTATTGTTTTCCTCAAGCTCAGTTCCTAAACTGAAGCTCAGAAACTATTAGGTTATCAAACATATAATAGGGCTAGATGCAATTGGCCTGATCCTAAAGTTTAATCTCTTAACCATCTTAAATCACTGCCTCTAACTACATCCTTATGAAATAATCTAATGTTACCTCTCTTGTCTCAAGGGTGCTAATAACCACTTAGACTTTGATCTACTGTATAGCAAACATTCCCTAAAGCTACCTTTGTTAAATAAAATTGAAATTTGCCTGCAGGTGCAACAGATTCATTCTTCAAGCACTCACTAAAATCCTGCTAGGTGCCAGCAACTGATAAAGGGGAAATAACATAACTCCAAACCTGGTAGATGTCAGATCGCTGAATCCATGTTCCCAAAAACAGAAGAGTGAATTCTAAGGAACTATGGAGGTTAAGAATAGGAAAACTTTATAAAGAGGGATAGCTCCTGAGAGACAGGAGGGCACCCAAAAGAAGGTTGCCAATGAGCCCAGTTCTCAAAGAAAATTTTACAGTGCAAAAATCACAAGGTGGGTACAAAAGCATGAGATGGGTACAACGTAAGTCAAAACTACAATCAAGCAACAAGATTATGATGATAGTCCCTTAGGTAATATTGATCCAATGGGGAAGCAGGTCAGGAAGCAAGAGTACATGAAAAGAACAAGGACCTTTTCAGGAAGAGATGGGGGCTAGGGATTTAGCTTCGTGGTGCTGCTCCTGCCTCGTAAGCACAATGTCCAATGAGTTTGATCTCTGGTATGAGATCAGGGTGGGGGAACTGAGGAAGAGATGGATCAGGAGGTCCTGGTCACCCACTGGGGTGGCTGATGTCTAGCTAGTCTTTATTGGACAGGTGGTACCGATTATAGTATAATCTTCAATTTACTGCTTATCACTTGGGGAGGCCTGGTCATTCCATCTTTATCTTGAGCCCTGACCTTCAACAGTTGGGCCTCCAGCTACAGTTGTAATGTGTTCTCCTCCTTTGCACTGACTTCCTCGGGCCCAGCCCTGTCTGCCTAGAATATTTCTATCTTAGTTGCCTATAATAAAACAGTCCTGGACACGGGCACAAAGGTGACCTAGACCTAGTCAGTGGCTTCAAGAGTTTTGTGTCCAGTAGGGACAGCAGACAAAAAGATACCAAAGTGTAACTCAAGGAGCAAGCGGTGTGCAGAGACAGACCTGGCAGCTCCTGCCAGGAACTAAACCCTGGTACTGTAGTTCTCAGGTGCAGAAGAATTGGGTGCTGCTGCTCCTGACTTCTCTTCCCAAAGGTCTCCCTATACTGGTGGCTGCACCAGGAAGGGGAACTGTTTTCCTCAAGCGTGGTGAGGAACTGCTGGGAACATTTTGGAACGTCTGTGTTAATGATAGGCGCCAGTCAGATTTCACTTTCTACTTTTCCAGCCACAGGCCCCCTGTGAGCCTGCGGATGGGAGCTTGTTTTCCAGAAAGGCGGCTTTGATTCGTGGTGGGAACGTGCAGGGAGCAAGCGGGAAGGTCGCCTGGCTCTGGCCCCCTCCAGGGCCTGCAGACGCGGGGCAGGAGAGACGCCCAGGTCCTCTGATCCCACCCTGCAGGGACAGGACCTGGTTGGCGGTGCTGGGCGGGCTGCGCAATCCAGGCAGGGCACGAGGTCGAGCCCCCCACGGGGTGCGGGCACTTGCGAGGTGCAGGCCCCGACGCCGGCCTCCCCCAGGGTTGCCCAGCCGGGACCCAGGTGCGCTCACCCAGGGAGGGACTTTCCGGTCCCGTGGGCAGAAGGACAACCAGGAACTCGAGCTCTGTCTCCACCCCGAAGTGGGGCGGATCCGCCCGGGATAAGACGCTGGGCCCGACCCTGGCAGGGTGTGACCTCCGCAGCCGCCGAGGAAGAGAGCAGCCCAGTCTCGTCTCCTCGTCTCGCGCGGGAGGTAAGGTGCTGGGACTGGGGTCCAGGGCCCCGGGAAAGGGCGGTTCCGAGGAAG